TATTAAGGATAGAATTTTGAAAGCAGATGAGGGAAAAGAGATTGAAACAATCTTGTTTGTACTTCTTGAACACTTAAATGTTGAATGCATTGTTAGCGAAGATAGAGAGTTACATACAAGATTGTTTCATAGAGCAAATACATCTATCACAGCAAATAGGCAAGATACAGAAGCAGAATTGCTAGAAACTGCAATGTACATCACACAAATAACACACTTACATTCATATTCTGCAAAATTGAACTAAGTATAAATATCACAAACAAAAGTCCATCAACTAATTAATAAAAAACCTGCATATCATAACTTCAGCTCAGCTTTTCACATAGATGACTAGAGACTGTAACACTTAAGTGTAACACTAACTCTATTGGTTTCTGTAGCTTTGAAATAAAAAGTACAGATAGCATGTAAAAGCTGCTTTTAAGAGAAAGGGAAAAATTTACTTTGTGTACAGTTGGTAAAATGGCAAATGCTCACAGTACTCATAGCAATTATGAAGGAAACAAATGGTTCAAGGATAGAAAGAAGGCACAGCTCTAAATTGGCCTACCAAGTGGAAAATCTCATAGTAAATGCAAATACTTGTGCAATCAGTAACAAAATGAGTCAACAAATGAAGATTTTGTGTGAAATATCAAGATCAATGGAAAGAACTCATATAAATCAAAATTAATAAAATCACACACTAAGAATAACAGTGTTACTGGTAAAATACTGAAAAGAGAAGGTGAGCAAAGTACGGTGGTTATCGTTAGCCTTGATTTACTCTATAGAAAGAGAGAGGGGGAGGGAGAGAAAGACAGAAAATAAATAGGAATGCAGACAATGGATTAGATCGTCAATGGAGTATGATAAAGACGGTTAAACTGGATGAGCACAAATGTTTGCTTGGGTGAGCATTTGCATCCCACCAAATTGAACTTCAGCATTATTTTTTAGAAACAATTACAATTTTTTTTTAAATCAGAACCAAAAAACGCAAAAGTAATGAGTGCATATGACTAGATTGTGTATCACACAATGGTCAAAAATCAATAACAACAATAATAAAAACTGGAAAATATTCACATGTTTTGACCTGCAATTTTAGTGGCTTAAAGCCTTAGTGTCTCTAATTAAACTTACATTCTAAGGCAGATCAAAGATTTAAGAACATTTTAAAGAATATTTAATGCTAGCTTTGGATTAGCACACACTCATAATGCGCAGTAGGTTTTCCATCTGAAATGCACATGATTATTCTATAACACCAGAAATAGTTCTTGCAAATTGAGCATATTAGACTGTTATTCTATTCATAACGCATGCACCCCCCAATGACTGATGGATGATACCAAGCATGCTGCTTTCCATTTCTAAACAAGTAATACAGTCTGAAGTAAGATATTTCTGTACTTCTATTTCATACATAAAAAGGTACGGAATCAAACTTGGCAGACTTAATTAACACAGATGTTTCCTTCAGCCTCTGGTGTAACTAGCCTTTCATTATCATCCCCACTTTTGGTATGCAGCCGACGAACATCTGACAAAGAGCGCATGGGAGCAGGGCTCAGAAGGGAAAATCCACTACTTCCACTCCCCATGCGATCTGTAATTTTAGAAATTCCCATTAGATTAAAAAGTTACATAAATATTCCAAACAATAAAGAGATAGATAGATAAAATTACCTTGAGAAGCTGGACTACGCAACAGTTCACGAGCCATTTCTTCTAATACTAATGCTCCCCTAGGTTGCCTAGGTGATGCAATCCTGCTAGGGGATCTCCTTGAAGAAATGTGATCCTGAAAATTAAGAAGAGATTTTTTAAGACTTGCAGATGTATATGTATGAATAGAAAACAAAGAGAGACAATTCCTAAAGTCTCACCTGACTTGTTTCATCATCACTACCAGGGAAGCGAAATGCTTTGAAGTTCGGAGACCTCGGCCAAGATGTAGGAGGTGGCGACCTTATCATATGTTCATGAATTTCTGGCAGAGTAAATGGATCAGGATCTAATTCAGATGGAAAATCCTAGAAAATAAATTTTGTTATATTTGTTAGTGTTTCAGGTCAGGTCCTTGTACTACTTTAATACGATCTCAAAAGTATGTTTCTCACCTGGTTCATAAGATTTATATCATCAGACTCTGATTCCTCTAAGCTGTCAGCTAAACTTTCCCGACTGGCAAGTACTTGCTGTCAAAAAGAAAAAGAAGCATTTTTTCAAAAACAATAATTATATAACATGTGCATATTGAAGAAAAATGTGCAGCAACTGTGTGAGAGCAAAATATTACCTGAAGAAAGGGATTGTCTTGTCTTGATATGCGAAGTGCTTCCATGTCCTGATCTATGTCTCGAGTTCGGCCAGGGGTGAGTGTAAGAGTAGACAGAGCATGGGCTGATGAATTTGACAAAACTCCAATATCTACTCCACTGACCGATAGAGTTGATGGAACCCGTGGTACAACATGTGCTATTGTTATAGGGCCCGATTGCGGACCAGGTCCAAATCCTATTAAAAATGTAAACATAAATGGCTGTCAGACGTTTTTTAAAAAAGAGGGAAGTAAAAAGAAGCAATCAGCACTATTACCTGAGCCATGAAAATTGCTATCCATGTTCTAGTATGTTAAAATACACAAAATTCATGGAGTTATTAGTATGTTGATGTACCAAGTTTCAATGAAACCCAGTTAAATTAAATAAGCATTAGTCACACCCTGTAGGAAACAGAGAGCATGTAGATAAAAGCATTAAATAGGAGCTTAGCAGTAATCAGGATTAGATTTTTGTGCGAAAGAGTTAAAATATCAACCATGAAAATGTTAAGAGGAATAAACAAGATTAGTAAGCTAGATGGTTAAATTCTGAAGAGTTAAGGGTAATAAAGAACCAAATGTGGCAATATTCTAAAATTGTTTACCACAGCAACTGTCCAAAGTCCCAAATTCCTTACAAAAGTCTAGAGACAAAACATATTTTTTAGAAAAGGAAAACAGTAAAAAAGCAACAGTTTAGGCAATTCAGGTTTGTTAGAAAAGTAATTCAAGATACAATTACTTTCACAGTTATTCATCGAGAAAAGGAAATCCAAAAGTAAATGTGGAAAAAGCCAGGATATTAGACATATGTAAAAAAAGGAGTAATAATAAAAATATTACAATAAGAGATAGAGTAAGATTCCATCAACAGGGAAAAAAGCATTCTAATTACCAAAGAAAATGACGTTTTTCTCCGCCTCATAAAGCCTACCTTGGCGTAAACATAGCAGCGTCAATCGTGTCTCCAGGCTCGGCAGAACCAGCACGGTAAATGGGCCGTTTCTTTAGGGAGGAAAATAAAGATTTACGTTTGGTAGTTCAGATTTCAGCAAGCACCAAGCAGTAGAAAACAGTAGTGACTCTAGAAAGCAGAACAAGAAACAAAACACGTACGTATAGTAACATTGCGCATTGTTATCGATATTGCAGTTCAGAAGGGCGGACGGGAGAGAAAGTAGGGTGGCACTGGCAGGGTGACACGAAGAATTTTAGAAAAAGCATTAAAACGTTAAAGTTGCGGGTGTACCAGTTACTTTCGTTCTTTTTCCTTCGATATCCTGTCGCAGTTAACTGGCTAGGTTGCGCTCCACTCTGGTGTGGTGAATGAACCTCATGACCTCATGGTAAGCCCCGATTGTGACGTGTGACGTCAGACGTCGACGTAACGGACATAGTTCGTCGAGTTCGTCGTTTCGGGTCGTCGTCGAGTCGACATCGGCATCGGCTCGGCAAAAGAGGCAAAAGTAGGCAGCAAGCGTCTAAGCGTCAAAAAGAAGTACTCAACTCGCTCGCTGCGCTGGGTGGTCAGAGAAGAACGAGGGACGAGGACTTCTGACTTCTATCACTCTTCATGGTAAGTGTGCAGATATACATTCCGAGTTTCCCGATGATATTTCGGATTAAAGTTGCAGCTCTGGTCTTTTTTTCTTGTGGATGAGAGTACAAACATCGCCACAGTCGTTTTGGACTGCCGCGGCCCGCCGCCGCGCCGCCGCTGCCGCGCTTCTTCCTGTCTGCCTCAAATTTCTTGCCATTACATCCCGTATTTTTTCCAAATGGATTTTTTTTCTAAGCCGTTTTTTTATATTTGTGTTTCTAGTTGTGGTTCACTGCGTGGCTATGAGAGTTTTCGTGGATTCATGTCCGTTTAGGTTGTCTGTCGCCCTACGTCACGTCGAGCGCCCAAGCGTCACTCGTCACTTGAACTTGTTGCGTTGCGTGGCGTTTAGTTGTAGCGTCGATCAACTGGTTCCGTCACACACTATGAACTCCCTCTATTTTAGATACTAGGTCCATCTGGATTTGCGGATCCACTTTGGTTCTGGGGTATGCAACAGGTTTGTTTGTTAGGCACAGTGAGGGGGGGGGGAGGGGGGGCAGCGTCGCGTCGTTTTGAGCTCTGTAAAAAAATGTGTACATTTTAAATTCCTTCTCCGTTAAAAATCTCTAAATTTTGGAGGGGAATGCTAACTTCTGTGTAAACATTTTGTTGCCTTTTAGGAACAATGTGGGTAGAGCTATTCTATATTCCTCCTTTGGGGGGGGGGGGGGGGGGGGGGGGGGGTAGAAAGAGAAGGGAAGAGTGGGCAAGAGCCAGTCATCATGAAGCGAACGATGGCGTTCCTTCCGTGGGAACCAAAGTTAAAAAAAATATGATTTGACCCAAGGCATATGTTAGTTTTTCATTTATTGAGTGTTACCATGTATTGCCTTAAAAATATGTCACCTTTATTTTTGGTCTAATTAGTCATCAACAATTTTCTTTTATTTCTTTGTGTTTCAGATTAAACATGCCGCCAGTGGTGAACACCTACGGAGTTCGTAAAAAGAAGAGCAGAGGTCTTCCAAAGTTTATATTGAGAGAAGCCCCTACCACAGATCTGTTTGAAGCATTAAGAATTGAAAACATAAAGGAACCTAAAGCAATCGCCGATGCCAAAAGAAGAGAGAGGAGGAAACTTAAAACTGTTCAGAAGCCTGCTGTTCCTAAACCTTTGTATCCACTCTGCAATCCATCGAATGCTGATAGCGCTTTTGATAAACTTTTGGATAGCAGCTCTGATTTCTTATCCTCTGCCATCAATAGCTCGCCCAGAAATGTTTCAAGCTCCCCCGATGTATTTTACCAAAAACATGAAGGTCTGTTTATAAGAATTTGACTGAATTGATAGCTTTGTTACTTTCAATGTGATAATTGTACTACTTTGTTACAGCGAGAAGAGACACTGAACATTCTCAAATAAAGCCATCAAAGTTATCATTGAAAGGTAAAGGGAAGTCTTCTGGATGTGGTCCAAAAGGCTTTATTATTAATGCTACTATTTAAGTAAGTGGTGTGAAGCTGCTATCTTATTTAGCGACCATAGTATTAAGTGGGACTTTGTTCTTTGCATTATGAATAGGTTTGAATGGTGTTAATAAGAAGAGGACTGTCAAGAAAAGAATAACAAGAGAAGACAGCCTATTTGCTTTATCATGGGAGACTAGTCTTGAGGCTGTCCCACTTGCCAAAAGACTAAGAGCAAACAGGCAAATTGCGTTTGCTAATAAGGAGAATTACTTAAATGATAGTAGTTCTTCTGGTGAAGATTCGTGTGCCTCATTCCCAGTCAAACCACCATTCAGTACTTGCACTACTTCTGTTTCACCAGAAGTTTCGACTTGTGAGGAGAAGCCTGTGTCTCCTTTGTCACCTATTCTCCCCCTGCATGGTTCTACCAGCACTCCATGCGAGAAACTAAGGGTGGAGTTGTGGCCTTCTCCCATACCCTATAATCAATCGAGCTCTGTAGTAGAGCATCATGCAAATGTATTTAGTAACACAAAGAAACAGGAAGAAAGTAAGGACATGTTCAGCTCGTTTGAGCAAAATGTTGGGGACTCCAAAGTATTCTTAAATGACTGTGCTGAAAGCAATATGCTGCAGTCTTTTGATTTTGACGGCAAGAAATCTTTTATCAATGCATCGGAAGCACCTGTTCACATTGAGACTTGGGAAAATCGGCAATGCTCACTTTCAGCTGATCTGTTTCAATCTGAAACTACAAATCCATCATTTTCACATCCCATTCATGCTGAGGAAAGTTGTCTGATTTTAGAGCCGGTTACTGATGAAGTTGGTCAAGTTGACGAATCTGAGTTCATCTCTACTGACTTCTGTAGTCCTTTAAAGAAGAAAAATGGAGTTCATTCATCTGATGGTAATGCTGCATGTTTAAATGGAGTTCAACTCAATCCACTGAAGTCTTATGAGAACTGTAGTTCCTCTGATGAAAAGTTATTGAGTCTACCTAGAAGCAATGAAGAAAAGCCTCTTAAAGATTGTTATGTTGTTATTGATAGGTGTGACAGAAATGAATGTTTCCCAACAAATTCAAACAATACAAATGAAAGTTGTGATAATTTTGATGATTTAAGTGTGAGACACGAGGGACACAATTCCAAGTGCTTTACTGCTGTAAGCTCTGGTACACCCATTGCCATTAGAGATATGAGCCATCTTCAGCTTGAGAAAGATCTAAGCACTTGCGCAGGATCTTTAAAAGATTGTTATATTGTTTTGGATAGATGTGATGCTAACAATTGTTCTCCCACAAGTTCGAGGGGGATTGAAGAGAGTTCTGTGAATTTTGAGGACTCGTTTGTGACAAGTGATGGATGCAATTTTGCCGCTGCTGATTTTGAGACAAGCCCTGCTACATCTGTAAAAAATATGAGCAAACCTCAGTGTATGGAAAATATTATCTCTTATCTGGATGAATTGAAACTCTCTCCAAAACTTATTGGATGTAATAACTCAGATGTCAATGGACAATTATCCATTGAAGAAAAATCATCTCTTCTTAATATTAATTCAATTTTGTCAGATGGTGAAAGTAGTCCTAAAGATGTTACGCAAACAAGTTCAAAGATGATTAAATCCCCAAGAAATGTAAGTGGCATCATTTTGGATTATGATTGCCAGACTGATGCACAAAGAGAGAGTACATCAAATTGTAGCAGGACTGATGCTCCTGTTGAACAATGTGTACCTGTAGATGATATAGCACTGAAAAAGAAGATGGCCGTGAAAACTTGTGATAACTTTGATAGTGAGGTTCTTCTACCGAGGTGTGATTTACCAGACCAACCACCCGAAAATTCATTTTCCAAACTGAGTATTTCAAGGCCTTCAAACTGTAGATTAAGCATTAACCCTGAAACAATTGTCTTAAAGCCGGGAAAGCAGTGGCGTAGATCACTGTCCATTCTTTCTAAAATCAGGACAAGTGCTGGGGAGCTGTCTGGATGTAATAGAGAATCCCTTTCTTCAGAGGACACAAAATTAAAAGGAAAACTCTGGGAGTCAGCTGTTCATTCAGTAGTCCAGTTGCAGCCGGTCAATGGTAAGAAGAATTCATGTTAATCAATTTGTCAGTGACATCACTTTTTTTCATATCTGGAATTTTTGATGTGCAAGTGATTTTTTCTAGATGTCATTTTTGAAGATATTGAAACAAGTATTATTTCTATCAGAAGTAGCTTGGGTAGGCTTAGTACATCTGCTGGAGTCTGTGAAAACCTGACAGATTCAGTCACCTCTGTCTCATCAAAGAGTGGTGTTAATTTGATGTCAGGTGCTGCTGAGATATTTAAGAGATGTGGTCAAGATGGACCAGTATCCTTCCAAGACTGCTATCTCCCAAGGTGAGTAAGGTTCGCCTTCTGGATAATGTTGTTTCATGTGTGAAAGTTCATATTTCTCTGGATCTCTATTGCAGCATGAAGAAAAATACAAAGAAAATTGGAGAAGGTGTCTATGGTGAAGTTTTCTTTTACTCTGGTAGTTCTCACCGTCTCCCCTCTGTTATCAAAGTAATTCCAATCGAAGGTTCTGTTGATGTCAATGGGGAACCTCAAAAGAAGTTTCATGAAATTCTCTCCGAGGTCTGCATTGCTCAGTAAGGACATTTTTATGTTGTTTCTTTACAACCGATAGTTAATTGTCTTTACTGGTTTTGGGGGTGAAAAGTGAAGGTGGTCGCAAGCAATTTTACTTGGTGGGCCTTAACTGGTTTCTAACAGCTTAATTTTTAACTTTGACTTTAGGGAACTCAGTAACCTTCGAAGAGGCTCAGGAAATGTTACTTCTTCCTTTAATGAGGTGCAAGCAATCCGCTGTGTGCAGGGCTGCTATCCTCAATGGCTTCAAGATTTGTGGCATGAGTATGATGAGACTAAAGGTAGAGATTTATTGTTTATATGTATCCAGTCTCCTATGAAGTAAACTTTTCACTGAAATTTTCCTTTAGGGTCAGAAAATGATTCTCCTGAAATGTTTCAAGAAGATCAGTTATATATAGTTCTAGAACTTCAAAATGGAGGCAAAGATTTGGAGAGCTTTATTTTTAGCTCAGCTGATCAAGGATTGGCTGCATTTAAACAGGTGTGCTTGTATTTTCTGTTTTGTTTTTAAACTTTGCATTGGTTTGTTGTCTCATTGAATGTTCATAATCAGTGTTGTGGAACGAGAGAAAGAGACTGAACTCAACATGTTTGCATTTGTATTATCAGCATTTTCAGTTGGTTCCTGTCCCTCGGCGAGTGAGTTTCTGGCTCATGTTGTCAGTTCATGACTAGACTCTCACTCGTCTAGGGAATTGAGCATATGCTTTGAACCGTTCATCATGCTGAACCATCGGATGTGGAAATTTCAACAGCTTCAATACTCTTGCAAAGATGCTTGTTGCTCTGGATGAGTGATGTTTTAGTGCATGTTCAATTCAATTTCATGACTAGACATACACTCGTCCAGAGAGGCAGGTGCACCATCATGTTTTCCCAGAGCTCTTTACTTTTCAATCACCTTTGCTGAAGTATTGTATGTGAATTTCTGATCATGATATTCAATGCATTTTTGCAGATTGCTGTGTCATTGGCAGTGGCCGAAAAGGCATTGAATTTTGAACATAGGGATCTTCATTGGGGCAATGTACTAATTTCTTGTACTAAGGAGAAGACACTTCATTATGTTTTGAATGGGGAGTCCATTAGCATTCCATCCAAAGGCATTGAGGTGATCCTCTATAATCACATTTTCTTTTTTGCTATGTATTTCATCATTTATAGCATTCAATGTGACCAATTATGAATTGCAGGTATCAATTATTGACTTTACATTGAGTAGAATCAACGATCCGTGCTCAGGTAGACCTGTATATTTTGACTTAGCTGGTGATGATACATTGTTCACTGCACAAGGAGATTATCAGTTTGACATTTATCGATTAATGAAGGAGTATTGTGGGTAGGTTTCATATTTACCATCAACTGCTATAATTCAATGTGATGGAACTTACAGTTTCTTTGTTTTCTTTAGGAACAAGTGGGAAACCTTCACCCCTAAAACAAATGTTGCATGGCTTCATTATCTATTGGACAAGTTGTGTACAATGGCTCGCTACAAGAATAGGTCAACTAAGCTTCATAACAAAGCACTGAATATATTACTAGAAATGAAAGATACTGTATTGATGTTTGAAAATGTTTCTACATTTGTGAATTGTCCATTATTTTCTAAATAACATACTAGTTTCTCTTTTTATGTACCTTGATTTTATATTTTTGATTTGATCAACCTTGTATTCTGTTATTTGTATGTTCTAAACAGCTTGTTGCTTTCAACTAGTCAACAGAAGCACCAGGACTGTTCAAATAAAAACAACAACTTATTTCACTTGTTTATTAACAGACACTTCCAAACAGTTTTAACCATCAAAGCAATCCAAACAAACAAAAAATCACAAGGGTTGAATCGTATCAAGTTTACTATTGGGTAGTGGGCAGCAGGTCCTTACCATAAGTAGCAGATACCCTGAGGCGCAAGTAAGTTTGCAACAACAAAACTGCTATTAAGACACACTTTAAAATAAAACAAATATTAACAGATTGCAGTTGTGATTTATGGTAGTCTATAGTTATGACACTGCAAATATAAGCACACCCTGAATCCAAACCAAAATTTATTATGATGAATATGAACTTCAATTTAAGGCACTTTTAAAACAAGATGAGTTTTCATCCTACACAAAATGGAACTTAAGCAAACAACTACAATAAACTGCACATGCAGTTCAATTACAAACTTTATATAGGCCAATGAAAGAAATGCTCAAAATTAACAAGTACAGAACAAGTACTTTCAAGAGAGTGATTTGGTACAGTTTTTGGCATGAATTACTTTGGGTTAGGTGACTTCAAGCACCTTAAGAGACTAAATAACACATGTTAAATTAGATCACATAAGATATTTTGGCACAATAGCTGAATTTCTCCTGATAACATGAAAAAAACTTTCACAAGGCTCCAATCAACAAGGGATTGTTCTCATCTAAAAAGTGGTCGTAGAATAAAATATTAAAGCTGCCTCTTGTGTAGAGAATCAAACACAGATTTACAAATGAACACTGAAAAGTTCATCACAAAGGAGCTTCCACAAGCCACTCAGTCTTCAACTAGACAATTTAAGGGCGTTATGCAAGACTGTCAAACGAGTATTGTCCTAACCAGAGCATGCAATCACATTACAAAATTTACTTAGCTGTAAATGACAGTACAATACAGCAACAGTTTTCTATTTACAAGAAACTTGATCCAAAACAAACAATTTATCTCAAAAATAACACAATGAGGACAAGCATCCATCATTGGATTCTAATTTCTTCTTATGTATATTAAAACAGTTAACTGGATAACACTTTCAAAATTTGCACAGCTGTTTCAGCATTTTTTTAAAAAATAAATATGTATACTCAAAATCTAAGTACTCGTCTGCTGAAGTCTTCATTGAATTTAGAAAGATAGACAAGTTAAGTACCATGTATCCTGATTACACCATTGGGTAGACCCATAAAGTGAGAAATAGTGGCCAATATGAGAGTCACTTCCTTTCAAAGACATAATTGGCACTAAAATTGAAGAGCAAGTCAAATTAACTTAAAAGTGGATTTCTACTAGCTGTCAAAAGTGTCATTGATGCCAAAATTGATTGGAAAGTTTTCCAAAGCTAGAAACATCAAATATGATGTATGAGAATTTAACACACAATATTGTCATCAGATGTTCTTCTTGTGCAGAATAATTCCAGAAATTTTTGCACAAAAAATAACATACATATATTGATGGGGGGAAAAACATGGAAAGGAACATAAACGTGCAACACAGGACAATTGTTAAAAATTAGCTGGTGAAGGAACCAGAAATAGTATGTACAGAGACAGTTTTGCACATTAAGGCACTGTGATGAAGTTTGGACTGCTAGCTGCACTTGCACTTTCAATATAAATCAAGGAACTGCTATGAAAGAACTGACCCACCACTGCTCTTTACTACTATTATATTTTTAACAAAAAGAGGGAAAGGTCAGAGTGGATTAAAATAAAATAATCACAGCTAACACACTAGTCTCCTCACTAAGCTTTGGCCGCTAGTCGGTGTCATTGTGACATCTCTATTACTTAGAAAAGTTCAAACCAACCAAACACAAACCTAAATAAATAATAACAAAAAAAATTACAATGCAGGAAACCATAGTGAATGAGCTGCACAATGTATCAAAAAGCTGTTGAGGAACTGGCTTAGACTAACCTGATACCACAGCCGGGGCAGCCAAGCTAGACTCTCCATCAAACTGACACAATAAATATAGCAATAAATAAAAACAACTGAATGCAAATCAAACTGAGCACGGCTTGTGGAGGAGCATTTTTGGTCACACTGCACAGATCATTCAACATTGATATGATTAAGTACCTTCTTGACACAAAACCCTAACAGGGGTCCTTAAATGTACAGAACACCGCTTACAATACAGCACGTGTTAACTCCTAAAACAAACAATTACAGAAATATATACTTCAATAACATAATGAAGATACCACTACAATCATGTAACATTGCACATGTTCAATGAACTTCAAAAGCTAACAAAGTATGTTTAAGTTTTTCACCAAAACTGAAAGACCCACACTAAGAAGAAAACAACAACCATTTGTTTTGTGTTCTCATGTGTGAAGGGAAATGTAACAAGACTAAGAGATCAGCTAATGTTGACTTAAGCTTACGCAATCAAGCATAACAGTATGAATATATTGCATAGAATAGTACCAAACAAAAAGTACTCAAAACAATGCACTACTAAATTATGACTAACACGTGCATCCTTCCAAGACAGTTAAATTGCCAGGTCATGTTAAGTTAATGCACACAAACACATAATATGAATATTTTCACACAAGAATATACATGAAAGTAAGACTTTGCACTTTCAAATTAAGATACCTACAACTGTTCTTGGGGTAATATAGATGCCGTTAACAGTTTCAAGAAGTTAATTTTGGCAACTGATTTTTCAGTACATGGGACAATCAATAATGAATGGCAGTCAGCTCATGCCTCGAGCAAGGCACAGTAGGATACTCTATGTATCTGACACCATAGTTCATCGCCTTCTAATGAAAATTAGATGGAAGGAAGACAACAGAGTACAGCAGCACCTTCTTTTGCCACTTTTCTAAGACAACTGTTGTACTGATGTTTCCATAAAGAAGTGTGTTTAAAGTTGAAGCCATGGCTCTAGAATTTTTAAGTACTTACCCCCACATTCCCAATACAATACCATTTGTAGCTGACTCACGGTTACTATTCAAGGGAAAAAGTGGGCGTATATACATGATACACATGATCTCCATATGACACAGTAAGAAAGGGACTGTCTGAAAGCAGCAACTGATTTCTTCAAATTATCTATGCCATCAAGATTGGAATGCATACCTTTTTGACAATGATTCATTACATTCATAAAACCACGGAATCTTATGTGATCTATGAGATACTATAATCCTTTTCTTTCCTTCAAAAATTCTCTCTGAACTCACAACAGCACCCTCTTACAACAATAGATGGAGTTTATAATTTTCCACAAGCTTATCCATGCTATTCTATGCCATTAATAGGTAACTCTACAACAAACATTACAGGAAAAAAAAATAACAAAGAAACCCAAACCCATAAATCTATCTCAGAAATCATACAAGTAAAAAGCCACATTAATGCGTCACAATTAAAACTGTACATTCAACCAGGTTGAGGATAGACTATTTTGAAGGAAATGGAAATTGGATCTCCATCATTACAGAAAACCTAGCAATTCAACTTTGGCAAATTTAGTAACAAAAAATTAGCACAAAATATGGGATTGATAAAAAGGAGACAGGTATGTTTTAAAATTATTGATCTGAAAAGCAACACACAACAATACCTTTAAAAGCCAACAATTTTGCCTGTCTACATAACTTGATGCACAGGTACCTATTTGAAAGTGGTAACAAAATAAATCAACAGTTCACAATCTATATGAGGTGGATGCAGGGAGGGATTTCAAGAGATTTCTATAAATTAAGTACAAGATAAAACCAAAGACACCTTCAATTTACTCCACATCCTGATGAAGAAAATCACGATGGATCCCATTTCCATTTTCAGAAGATTATCAAAAGTATACAAGCAGTCAATATGTTTCATAACACTGATAAAATTGTTCTTTTGGTTTGATAATTTGTAAATTTAACATAGCGATAAACATTTTGATAAAGGCAACAAATCTTAATGTGATTTTTATAAGAAATATAAACTTTGGATAGACTTTACATCCCCTTATGTCTACATATACCTATGTATGTTACAACTATGCGGTGCTCAAGGAAAACAAACAAAACAAAGACAAGAATTCGTTGGTCCATGGAAACCACATCATCATAGGAAAATAGGAAATTGACAATATACATCTTATGATACTTGACAAGAATTTTTAACGCACATTTTTCTTTTAAACATAAACTTGATTTATAAAATAGGCACTGAACATTTTGACTCAAGATGACTCTACACTCATAACAAGCAATATCCAATCAACCTCCAACAGTGAAATAGACTATGGAGGTACATTGTCAAAACTCCTCGCTTGGATGGCACAGAACAGATCAGTTTTAAATGGCATAAAAACTAGATAATCAATGAAACTTAGAATCTGTTACGAGCAACATCTATAAACTTTAAAGATAAACATGAAAAGGCACATTTGGTGAAGTTGATTAACATCATTTTGTGATAAACAATTGAGCTCGTGGCATCAAATTCTCATTTTCAAGTAAAATTCAAAAATTTAATAAAGACCAAAACTTTATAGGAACTGGAAATATTGATATCACAAATAGGCATGCTACATAGTGTAAAATAATTTTCAAATTGGTTCTGACACAATTTTTTTTTATGTCTTGTAGGCATTAAATGCTACAAGTTATTATCTCAAAGGCACTGAGGTCAGACTTCAATTAATAAAATAGTACATGGCACATTTGTAAACAAAAGAAAAGAAAAAAAAATCATTACATGGGAAACATTTTTGGTGAAGCACAACTTGGGTACAAGAGGAATCTGCCCTTATTAGAAACACTCAAGAAAAATTGATTAAAGTTTTGAAGTCAATGGTATTTTTGGTCTAGTTTCCTGAAAAAATTATACATCATTCATCCTATATGTACTTAACTGACTATATTGGGAGACAGATATCAATTGAACTTTGGGTTTAGTTATATTTGTACCATAAAAAATGATGCAATAGCACCACTTGACTCATTTAACCATTCAAATTTACTTATTACATATTTTATAAAAGTGAAAGATTTACCAAACTTTGGTAGCAAACATTTTAGAAGGCAACCAGAAATAAACGCAGACAGAATATTTGGAAGATAAGCAGGAAGGTACAAGATAATAGTTTCAGAAGACATAGGAAGATATGTTGAGACCCATAACCAGTAGACAGAGTAAGGAAGGAGTTACCACTTTAAAGCTTGACTAGGGAAAGGGTTGCAGAGTTATACTGCAAAGACATTCTTTTCAGTCATTAGCAGACCATGTTCACGAGATAAAAAGAAAAATCTCAGACAAGTGGGAGTCTATAAAAGGAGAACAACAATGCAACCATTGCCATTACCTATCTCAGACCACATTCAAAAAGATGCAGAAATTTTGCATAAAGGAAGAGTAGGCACATTTTGTAACTCAGTCTCAACATTCTACATGGAAAATCCAACACCACAAAGGATGAACTTTAACAGAAACAATCATTTCTTAACAAGGTAACTAGGCACTGGAGAGGTTTCGACTAGTTCAGTACGGCTGCAGTTTCAAAAGTCAGCCCAACAATATGGACACTTTGGTGATGTTACAGATTTGCACTGCTACTCAAAGCAATGGAAATAAACTGTTAGAATACACAATACCTAAATTAACAACAAAAGAAGGAAATGAAAACATTAAACAACAAACTTCAAATAAATCTTGATTGAATCATAGCACACTTTTCGAACGTAGATATAGATATATAATATATATATATGTATATATATATTGACATTTAAACATAATTCTCTTGTACATTTTACTCCTTGCATACGTATTATTTAATTTAAAACTCACATTCCAGCTGTCAAACATTTCTGAAAGCCAGTCTACACCAAGAGGTGGTTTGCCTCTCACTAGAGCATGAAGGCAAAAATTAGAATTTTAAAAATAGACAAAAAGACTGCAGGGCAGGAAAAAAAAAAGATTAGTCTCTTAATTATTGTCTACACCTGCAGCATAATTCATAATTTCACAATTAAGTAAAGATGAACAATGGAATTCGAAGTTGACACTGACAATACAGGACTCGATAAAAAACAAAACCGAATGCCTTAGACGGACTTTTGGTATCTGGAAGCTGACTTCATATGCTAACGTACAAGAGGTCAATATTGAATGAAATTCAAGCATAAAACAGAAACCTTGAAAAAAAAGAACTGATTTAGTTTTTATCTGTTATTAAAACGTTATCAGAGATAAAACAACATCAAAATAATTTATATCACTCATTGGCTATGTACCGCATTGGCAATACATAATTCCAAAGGACACTAATAATTGGTACAAAAAAGAGGATTAGCTTAACTATCTATAGCAAGCTAGGTACAAAAATTTTACCCCCAAGAAAAAAAAGGGAAGGGAAGGGAAGGGAAGGGAGGCACACTTGACAATTTGTATAGAGTATGTCTAATCTGCTAGACACTATCTGATGATGTAACTGGATTTGTTGAAGTTGTCGTCACAGAGCTGGAGGCAGTTGTACTGTTAGCCAAAGTAGTAACAGTTGATGTTGTTGTGGCACCAACAGATGTCGATGAAACATTTGTAGCAGCTGCAGCTGCTGTTTGGTCAGCTTTCTTCCGTCCTTCTCGTTTGTTCCCACCTGAATTTGAGCCACCGCTTGATCCACTTCCGTCAACAGGCGTTGGATGACGGTAAGATACATGTTTGCGTAAGGCATCTTTAGAGCGAGACACATGGCTACAAATGGAACAAGCATACTGAACATTTTGGTGAGTTTCCATGTGAACTCTAAGATTGTACTGGTTGCTCAGCTGTTTACCACAAACAAAGCATGTAGCATACAACTTTGTGTGACCTGTGGATGAACTTCCACTGGAAGACGCATTGTTAGACTTACTGCTCGGACTGTTATTGCTAGTGCTATTGTTACTCCCCACAGCTTGGGAAAGATCCAGACCTTGGGTTGGAGACAAATCTATTTTGTCCTCTACCGTCATGCTTTCAGTAAACAGCCTTGAGGGTGAAGACTCCAATCCTGTCATACAAAAATGATTACCATTACATGAACCTTATCAAGTCAATAAAAAAGGCAATGAGGAAAGCAGTATTGGTCTCACCTTTCCGATCATCCATGTCCTTGTCTAGAGCATGCTTGCCATTACCAGAGCCAATTTTCAAAGAATCTCCTGCCGGAGCTGTGCCTACAAGCTCTTGTTCAGTCTTAACTCGCAAAAATCCATCAGCTGCCAAATGTAAACCAGCTATAGGACTACCTGATGACTTCTGACCCACAGCTGAAAAGACTTGATCATCTAAAAAATTTCTTGATCCCCCCAAATTTAAAGACTTTTTAGATCCAATCTTTTGATTATATAGATCAGACATTTTCTCATTCAAGTTTGAAAATTGACTAGCATTTAGCTTTGAATCAAGAGTAGCAAGATTTTCTGCTACCTCCTGAGAGATAGTACCATTGGTATACAGGGTTGGGTCTAAGGCTTGCGACCAGGGACGCTTGCCATATAGTGCATAGTCCAATGCACTTTCTTTGGATTTTTTGTCAGCAGCCTGCTCAAGAGGTGGACTAGTAACGTGTGTGGGAGACGATGGAAGCTTTCTTTTGGCAGCAGTAGGGCTTTTCTGGTCTCTTTTGTTAGAAACTGATGGAGGGGCCAAACTATCCATTCCAGCATTTCCAGCCTGAGGCAAAAGAGTAAACCTTCAATAGAAATCCTATAACAAAAATAAGTCAGCATACCCACGGAAAATACACTTACCTCTGAACCAACTTCAGAAAGCCCCCGAATGTGAAGAACATCTGCCATTGTTAGTAATCCTGATAACTGATGTTGATAGATGTTTACTTCACCACTGTACATGAAAGTGACAAGAGCAACCAGGTCAGCAAAATTCATGCCAGGAAGTACAATTACAGGGTGTTGAAGTGGCTGCAGCTCCTACAGTTACAAAAAACAAAACAAAAAAAGATTGCATTTTTAATCAACTTATTAAAATTAAGAATGAGGAAAATGACATTTAAGAGTATTGAAACACCCACTTTAAAAAGTTCCTTGAAGTAAAGACTGCATGCTGATAAAATCACTTTGTGTGCTCGGAGGTTCCGTCCCTGGGCAGACAGTGTTACATCTGTCAAATGATGATTGCCGTCTAACAACTGAGGAAGTGTGGCCATAAGACTGCTCTGGTAACTGTGCCATCGCAGGCAAAACTGTTGTTGGTCAGTACCCATACTGTTAACTGTAAAATAAAATAAGATTTAAAAAAAAATGTATTTACTATAAATGAACTAATTTAATTTTAGAATACACAGACAACAATAGAGTTCTTGAAGAATGCCATTCAACATTTATATGTTCAGGAAAATAAACCAAAAACTGTACTAAAAGTGTGTGAGGGTGGAGAGAGGGGGGGGGGGAATTTGTATAAACAAGCAGAAGCCAACTAACATACAAATTTTTAACTTTTTAAAATCAGAAACTGAATGTGGAATCTATCAAAAGGCACAAAACCTGGAATAATTTAATCATACACACATAAACACAACAACATTAAAAATATGGACGACAATGATTCATTTTTGAATGGGAAGTATTCAGGATAACCTATTCATACACTCAATCATGTGAACTTGTGATGCATCTTACACTGTTATATACACTTCTCATCACCAGATTTGCAGCGGTGATAGACTACATTTTTTGTGACTTAACAATCACATCGTGTTTTCATTTCATCTAATCGCATATTGTCCCCAGTCCCTATCATCACTTACACCCACGCGATCTCAGCACGCAGATTTGGATCAAAAATGGTGCAAGGGACGGGAGCTTCTTCTGCTGCCTAGAGTCGATCTAGGCCTATGGAAAAATGCTCGGGAGTCAAGAACGGAATCAAAACAATATCAACGAAGCACAGAGGACTGGACATCGGTATCTCAAATCGAGACATTCGAAAACTCTACCTAATTTTGGAGATGTGCCCCTAAGCAAGACCTGACGACGCGGCCATTTCATCCAGTCATTCTATTTTGGTCTGACGGGACGGCAGGTCTACACACGGCTGGACGGGCCCTGCTGGAAGCACCAGGCCTTACGACCGTCCAAGAAGGTCTCACGAGTGACCGAAATTTCAAAATAAATTGAGCTCCTAGGCCCTTAAGACTAACTCAAAAGCGAGTAAACACACGCCACAATCATCTTCGAACCATGATAATTAGTAAATGTTTTGGTAAATAAGTTTACTTGCCTTAAGAGCGTGGCCCAGGAAAGCAGAAGGAACGGGCAGGACCCACTTCAGGGCCTCTTACAGCTTACAGCAAGCACAAAACGCGATAGCAGACGATTCCAAACAACAGACGACAGACGAGGTCAGAAGCTGGTCATTGTGAAAGACAGTCACGCAATGAATGTACGGAATCTCACTTAATCAGCGAATTAGTGTGGCTTTTTGATTTGTGAAAGTAGAAAAACAACACCATAACTCCTCAGAAATATAAAAGCCACTTTCACGCTGTGAAAAGGCGATAGGGGAATATTTAGCTGTTTGCGTGACTGTAGAAGTCATTTATTTAATACTGCACGCTACTCCTCTTGAGGGGATTTTTGGAAATTTTCCATTCAATCTAAGAGAAAAATTTTCGTGATCTTAATTTGAGCATTAACGATTGCCATCATGACGTTATTGGTTGTATGGGTGAAAGCTAGGATGAGGAATTTCTTGCAACTTTGCACAACCAGAACGCACCCCGATCGTTTTTAGCGGGACGATGCAAGTGTTGTAAAAGTTGCCGCACGTCCACCGAATGGTGACCTTTGCGTTAATTTTAGGCTTTGACGGGATTTGTCGTTCAAGATCATGGAAGCTTTCTTCGCTCAATATTCCCAATCACTAGAGGAGGGGACGTCCAAGCTATTGACACTATTGAACGAAATAGCATCCGTACGAGGTGGGTAGCGGTGAACCTATAGCATCCACAAGTTTGGGAGAAGCGACGACAACCATGTGGTGAGATCGTCTGGTTTAAACATGAGCATCCCTACTCGATTCTGAATACAAGTTAATTAATTTGATGTTAGCGACAGATCTGTGAAAAAATTTGTGTCTTTTATTTTCCTAGAGCAATGCAGTAATCTGCAGTTGTCGATAGCTACTCTTGACGATCCAGAATCTAAACTTAGTGTGTTGGAAGCAGAAGCTGCAGCGAAAGAAATCGAGAATCACATCTCAACCTCTATGACATCACTTGAGCCTACTCTACTTGAAAACTGTTTGGTTTTGGAAGAATCTGCAATGAAAGAAGACCATACTGAAAACGGGACAGACCAGGTCCAGAAATCTGTTGAGTGCAATGAGCCATGCACCAATGCAGATGATTGTAATGATTCAACCATGATAGGAGGAGTCGATCCTTTAGAAGTGAACAAATTTTCTTAAGATAATTTTTAAAATTCAAAGATCTGAATAATAGATAGCTGTGAAATTTAACAACTCAGAAGAGAAAGTTTTAATTTGTCTGGGTTACGAGCAGCATTTTGTCCACACATCAACATATTTTAATAAAATGATAAAAATTCAAGAGCATTTTGTTTTTTTAGTTGCCTTCTCAATAAAGCAAATCATGGTTTTCTTGTAATTTTATTACAGTACAACTAAGACATTGAAGTACACATTGCTATGGAACTCACAGAAAAGAACATGCAAAACTTCTGTAAAACAACATGACAATTAATTTATCCTAACAAAATGGAATGTCAATACAGTCCATTATATCACATTAATTTGCACTGACGTACATGTTGCTTAGAAAAATATCAGCTTTTCTGGCACATTTTTGTAAATTATGCTTCACATATGAATTAAAATAAAAGGTCAGGAATCAATATTAAACTTAAAACAAAAATCTCATCACAATGAGATATCTGATCTGAGCAAGAGTGTATTCACTGGGGAACAACATTTCCTGACTTTAGAACGGAATGAAAGCATAGAAACTTGAAAAGGCCAAATATCACAAACTTGAGTTGACTAGTTTAAGAAGCACGACCAGAATTTGGAGAAAATTCTGTACTACTACTTGAAGAAGAGGAGAGTTTGTGAATTGATGTCGACGATCTCTGCCGAGTGGGCAGTTCAAAGTGATTTTCCTCTGAGAGATCGGACAGGATTTCTTCAGTCTGACGATTGCGAAGTGGAGGTCGTGCTCTAATTCCAAAGGTGGTTGGCCGTTTTTCCGGGCGATGGTCCAACATCATTTTCAGCAGTTCATACTAGTTGGGAATTTATTTAAAAAAAGAGAAGAAATGGTAAGTTTTAAAATTAAGACCTTATAAAAAATCAAGCAATAAATTTCTGCAAACCTCATTTGGATGGGTTACAGGGAAATCAGGTGGAAACTTTTGACGATGTAAACTCTGCATGATTTGGATTCTTTCCATTTCAGTGCCAAATGGCATCAGCAATTCAAAGAGGATCAGCCCCAATGAATATATGTCAACTTTGTAGTTGTAGGGTTTACCCTTGCGCTATACAAGAGAAATTCAAGAAATATCGTATAGTAAGTGCAGAAAATTTAGTTGACTTTATAAAGTTAAATATTATTAAATAACATACCTGTTCTGGACTCATATAGAGCTCTGTACCAACTTGAGCTGTATGACCAGAGAAGCCAGAGGAGCTTGACGAGTCTATTGCAGTGCGTTGATCATCTGTTTCTTCCAGCATTGTTGTAACAAGTCCAAAATCACCAATTTTAATGTGACCGTCCATTGAGAAAAAAATATTGGAGGGCTGCAAAATAAAAAGCAACATTCATGTTATGTTCTCTGTTATGCAAGTACTCATTGCTATACATGTGTTCAACCATTAACATATGCTAAAATCATCGCATACCTTTAAATCTCTGTGAATTAAATTATTTAGATGAACATACTCCACAGCCATGACAATTTGTTCAAAGAAATTTATGATATTGAGGTAGTCCCTCTTAGGAGTACTTTGTAACCAGTCTTTCAAACTATCTTTCTGACAAAGTTGCATCTGGAAAGCAATACATAAATCAAACTTAGGTTCTAAAGAATAAAAGACTCAATAAGATGCAAAGTTTTGGGTACATAGGTACTTTTATACCTGAATAAATAAGTAGGATGTTGAAATTTTCTGTCTTTGACTGCTGCGGCAAATACTGATTTGCTTTGGGCGGACATTCTTTTTCCTTGCAAGTGGAAATTCACTTGATCCTGTAGAAGAACTACACACCGATATCACACTGTCTTTCCTATTAAAAAAATAACAATAGATTTATTTTTAGAAAACACAAAAGTTTACTTAGCAGGTAGACAACAATAAACGAAAAATACAGAATTTGCATGCATTTATAATAACAACTCAGAAGACTTACCGTCTGTCCAAACTGTCATTTTCTTCACATTCATCTTCCACATCTGATTCCTCTCCTGAAGGACCTGATGCATCAAATACTATATAAGAGTCACTTGTATCTTGTACTAGTTCATTTTTAGTTCTGGAAAACATAGTGTTTCCAGACATATTATGACTAGTTATGTTTGAAGAGGCAATATTCCAACTCTGCTCTTGGTATAATCGTTTTCTTTCCATAAGAGGATTGACAGATTGACTACACTCCTCTGAGTAATTAGTTTGGTCTTCAGAAACTAAGCTAGACGTTGCTTCCAAAGACTTAAACCTGTGTGAATTGATTTTACCAGTTAAGAATAAAATGTACTCCATTCGGGTTATGGAAAACCACAGGTGGGAACCAAACTTACATTGAGGCCAATTGTTTATCCTGGTCTTCTTGCCATCCAGGAGGAGGGCACTCTAGCCACGAATTAAAGTACCTGACTATATTGTTGTGATCCAACTTAGCCAAGGCACGTACCTCACGAAGCACTCTTTCCCTTGACTCTTCCCTATTGAGAAAAATATTTTAACAGCCAAAGATCTAGGGTATTCGAAGAATTTATGAGCAAAGATACTTTTTCATACTTGTTTGTTAGTGGAATCCTCTTCACTGCATAAAGACAATCATCAAATTTTTTACGGGCTTCAAATACAACACCAAATCCACCTTTGCCCAGACATTGTACTGGTTGAAAATCTTGTAAGTAACGGGAGGTGTATTCAATTGGTGTTGCTGGACGTTCTTCCTGAGCTACCTCAACTGGAGGTATGCTTGCACCATGTGGATGTGTGAACGGAAGCAGTTTTCCTTCCTAAAGAGAAAATGGGGAATGCCCATAAAAAAGTGTTCAGTGCAATCAGTTAATGCAGTGTGGAAAGTCCACCTGACAAACTACATAAGGCTACAGACCTCAGCAGTTGGTTCTAAAGGTCTGCGAAGTCTCAGTATTTTAAGGACACCCTGTGGCATCATACAATTAACAAGAACAGCAGTACCAATACTGATAAGTAAAACCTCTTTCCTGAAAGGCAATACATAAAATAAAATTTTATTACCCACATTGAATACTAATACTATTGTGACACTTTACCAAACCGCCAGTTCTAGCAAAATGGAATAAAAGAATTAATAGATAATATTAAGGTTACTTACCACCAGTACCACAGGGAAGTGATAATGATAAACTGAACTTCTTCTTCTCCATGAGATGAAGGACTGGGCTTTTTATCAGGCATAGGAATCTGAACTTCAATTGTTTGATTATCTGCTTGATCATCATCAATGGCCTCAATTAGACCACATTGGGCTTGCCGAGCTTTCTTTTGAGATTCCAAAGAATAAAGATAGAAACCATTACCTGTAAAGAGTAACTCAGTAAGTTTTTAAATAGTAAAAACTTTACATTGTACTATTACCTCAAAGATCCAATTTGACGTCTTACCATTCACATATTCTGAGGCATAAAGAACTGACATGGCAGTAGTACGAACAGCTTGATTCGATTCATCAGTTAACTGAGGCATCCTACTTTCATCAGCATTGTCATGTTCTAATAGACCAAGAGTATTTCCTGGGAGAGCTGGAATGGGTCGCCAGGGAATTCGAGTGTATATTGATTCATCTGTGATTAGATTTTGCCGATTCATAGTGTCTCCAAGATGTTGCTGCATTTGCACACTTTCTTGAATATACAACTGTAGAGATGATTAAAATTCATAGTTAATACAAGTGTCTGTTGGGCAAAGACAGTAAAATTTAAGAAATAGGAATATGGGATTAACTTCACCTGTTTCTTATGCATTCCTATGTAAAGAGATGGTGATATTGGTTTTTCATGTCCATGTGTTTTATCGTGATTCCATTGCAAACCACTGAAGAGATCTACTTCCTTCAGTTCTCCCTTATTTAAAGTCCATGCACTTACTATTGGTGAGTCAAACTGAAACAAATCAAACCATTTTAATGATAAAGGCAGATAGATCAAAATTTATTTTGAATGGAGAAAAATCAAAGTAAGTCATAGTTGTAAAATATAAACAAATAGTAATCAAAAACAGAAAATGTACCTCATGTTTCCACAAAACTTTTTTAGGGTCAGTGAGGCTTATCCCACAAACAAGGCCATCAGGAACAATAACTCTCACATCAAAATTCAATGGTTTAAGTTCCTTACTGCCATGACAGAGTGCAGCAGGATCTGGGGAGAGCATTACATTGAGCCTGGCCACACTAAAATTCCATCTGAAAACAAGTCTAAGAGTGAGCACAAGCCTGGTAAAATTATAACTATAATTACAGTTAGGTTAGGACCAGGTAAAATAATACAACACCTTTCAAAGCTGGTTCTGGGCTCAACAGCTCGAACAGTATGGGTAAGTCTTTTCAACACAAGTACTTCTTCAACTTCTGAAGAGTTGTCACCTAAATAATGTTCACGTCCTTGCATTGACCATTCATACAAGACAGTGCCAGTTTTTGCATCAATACCATATGTCCTGGATTCCTTTCCTCCTGAAACAGGTAAAAGCTCAAATTAAAAATCGTATTACTCCCAGCCTACCAAAATTTTTAACCAAGGCAGTGCTACCTGTGAGTACAATATCATCCTTGCGGAAAGAAGACTGTAGGAGATCGTCAGCGGAAAAGGGGATTACTTCTACATTGTCACCATTGAACTGGTAAAGTCCACCACTTAAAGAAGGAATCATACGCAGAAAATGGCCATCTTTGCCCAGCTGGAAAATAAAATAATGTTCAGTTTTAGTAGGAGATAAAATCAAATCTTGTTGAGAGATTGAAAATTGACCAAAGTACCTCTAAATTATGGATACTGGATGATAGCATAGGCCCAGGACCAGTGTTGACATTCCAAAGAACATTTCCATCACCGTCTAGTGCATAAAGATGTCCTTCGATTGTGCTCACAAGCACGAGACTGAAACAAAGTTTGGGTCGGAGACAGATCAAGGCCGAGAAAGACTGAAAATTTAACTGAAAGATAGAAAAGTATTTTCTTAACTTAATTTAGATAAAACTAGAGGAAATGTATTAATAAACTCTCCTCCACACAAAACACATTCCGAGATCTTGTTCATTGTTTTTAAAATCTTGGTTACTAATTGCATCATAAACTTTGATAAAATTAAAGTGAATACCTGTAGATGTTTGAACAGAAGCTGAATGCAACTTGACCTCAGAGACACAATGGAAGTGCCAAAAGAAAAAAAGACACAGTAGTTTTAAGCCATATACCAAACCAACCTGTCCAATCCAGCAGCTCTCGAGGTGCAGTCAGGTAGGGCAGGTAGGGGCTCCTCCTGAGCGGATGATCCAATGACAAAGTATATGCATATGACGGTTGACACAAACCAAAAGAGCAGCTTACGAAAAAGATAGCCCATTTTGACAGCCATCAACAGGTACAACGCATTTTTCGTTAACTTTCTACAGAAGCATATTTAAAGACACTAGAAATGACATTTCCGTCACCACAATGTGCATTATAAGCACTTGGGTGTAGGGACTGATTCTTTTCGGGGGTCTGTCCTGGCACATAAAGTATTGACAATCTTGAGGAATAAAGCCAATCAATTTTCATCGCTTGTCGAACTTTAGGGATACACCTCCGGAGCGAAATGTTTTCTCGCACTTGTCTTGCCTTTGCTGTTGCTGTGCTGTTGTTGTTGTTATTGTTGTTGTCAACTCACCAGGTTCGAACTATTTATTTCAGGAAGGCCAGGGGTATAGTTTGTCTCTGTCCAGGTTCACCAACCCACAAACTGTAATCTGAAGCGTTTACGCAGAGCGATTTTCTGCCTAGGCCAGCGGAAACCCTCCGATTTGATTCAATTTAACATACTTTGCATTAATCATTTGGATTACAACTATTGCGCTTCACAACTCAATGGTCCTCCAACGTCTTGTGCGCCACTCTGGACTTGAACAAAATCAGAATCGTTTCGGAGCGCCCCACTGCCAAATAAGGCAAACGATGCTTTTCGACTGGGACGCCTCCGACGCCGACTGATGACTGATACGCGGAGACGTCTGGATAACCGAGGGGTGTGACGGCTGTCAGTGTGATACCCATTTACTGTTTAAACAGCCCGTTGTGAGCCATATTTCGGGAGAAGCACCGTTAGGCCGGAAGATTCTATTTGACATTCGTGGGTCGGTCAGTGGACGAAATGTCGTACTCCACGAGTAAGTACTCCCGTTTCACTCGGCTGACTCTGTGCCGTCTGTGCCGAAATTCCCCCTAATGTTCAATACCGTGCTGTCAGCTATTCTGACGGCAGTACAACTCATTTGTTGAGATTTGAAAGTCGCACATTTGCACCTAGGCCGGCTGGTAGAGCATCATGTCCTTTCAGAGTTTCAGGCTTTGGTTGGTTTCCTCTGAGGTGTGCCTCCGGCTTCACTGCTATTAACGTTTGCAGGTCTTTGCTTTTCCACTCACCCCACTTGCCTGTGCCTACAATCTATTGGTTCTTATGTTCTGACATTTAACTGAGCACTATCTGCGCATCAGTGATCATGTGGAGTCCAAACCTATTCCTTATACCTACCTGTTCATTAAGCGTGAAGGTGCAAAGTTTGCCGTTGTGAGAGGGCATTTTAGGGTCTCAAACAATGAGTTAATAATTTGTCATTTATTTTGCAGAGTACACTTTTGCTACTTTGCCCCGAACTCAGAGAGGTCAGCCCATTGTGTTGGGTGGAGACCCTAAAGGGAAGAACTTTCTTTACACTAATGGGAACAGTGTGATCATCCGTAATATTGATGTGAGGAATATGTTCATAATTTCTTAACATATTCATCATGTACACAACCTAATTTTATGGAAGCATTACTTACACATTTAATTTTGCTCCAGAATCCTGCCATATCAGATATCTACACGGAACACTCATGTGCCGTTAATGTGGCCAAGTATTCACCTAGTGGCTTCTACATCGCATCTGGAGGTGAGCTAAGCATTGCTTTTGTCTTTCCTTCATTTCTCAAACTGACAACTGTTTTAAAATATGGCTTGTGGTCTTTTTTAATTTTTTTTTTTTTAGATCAATCTGGCAAGATAAGAATTTGGGACACTGTGAACAAAGAGCATCTTCTGAAGAACGAATTTCAACCTATTGCTGGTCCCATCAAGGATATAAGTTGGTCACCTGACAGTCAGCGTATGGTGGTTGTAGGAGAAGGCAGAGAAAGGTTTGTTTTTTTTGGTGTGTGTGTTGTATTTAACTTTTTAAATCTTGACATACGGATGGTGCTGATTCCCTGTTGCTTTTTTTAACAGATTTGGTCATGTCTTTATGGCTGAAACTGGAACCTCAGTCGGAGAAATCTCAGGACAATCCAAACCTATCAACTCAGCTGATTTCCGCCCTGCTCGCCCTTTCCGAATTGTCACAGGCAGCGAAGACAATACTATTGCTGTCTTTGAAGGTCCACCATTCAAGTTCAAGATGACTAAACAGGTGATTATATTTGGATGCATGTAAAAAGCTTTGATACATGTTTATTGTATTGCTTACTGAAATATTCTTGCAGGATCATACCCGCTTTGTTCAAGCAGTGCGCTACTCCCCAACTGGAAGCCACTTTGCCTCTGGTGGATTTGATGGCAAAGTTTTCTTGTATGATGGAACATCAGCAGATTTAGTTGGTGAGATTGGATCTCCTGCACACAAAGGTGGTGTTTATGCTGTGAGTACCAGAGAAAATTTTCAAACTTTCATTATATCATGCCATATACAATTTTAAAATCCATTGAAGTAAAAGAGGATAGAAATCTACTATTACCTGGCTTTGCATTTTGTCTTTATTGTCACCTTAACAGGTGGCTTGGAGTCCTGATGGTAAACAGTTGCTCACAGCATCTGGAGATAAAACCTGCAAGTTGTGGGATGTGGAAACAAGATCCATGGTCACAGAATTTCTGATGGGCACACAGGTAGAGGATCAACAGGTATGACTAAATCTTGAGTATATTGATCTTCCTTTTCCTTATTCCCACAATATTTTTGCAGTAAATTTAATGTGTGTTTGTATATAGGTGTCATGTCTGTGGCAAGGGGAGCACATGTTGACAGTATCCCTTAGTGGTTTCATTGCTTATTTGGATCCTAAGAACCCAGATAAACCAATCAGAGTGATCAAAGTAAGCCGGAAAAATACGCTCTTGATTATATTTTTCCCCTGAACTGATAAATCTAATCTTTATATATTTTGTTCTGTTTGTTAAGGGCCATAATAAGCCTATCACCGTGCTTGCCCTTAGTCCTGAGCGAGACACCATTTACACAGGATCACATGATGGTTATGTGACAAACTGGAGTGCTAAAACAGGTATGGAGGCCATTATTTCCAGGTGTTATGTTTTTTTTTTTAATCTTATTGTGTTGAAGGGAAAAAATGTCAGTATGATTTTCTCTCAAACCAGGAGAAAATGATAGAATTCAAGGAAATGGCCATGGAAACCAGATCAATGGCATGTGCACTGTTGGCAATCACGTTTATACTTGTGGTATTGATGATAGCGTGAAGCAAATTGATGCAACTTCTAAAATGTACACTGGTGTTGATATGAAGCTTGCATCTCAGCCCCGAGGCATGGATCTTAAAGGTGACACAATTGTTGCAGCTTCTGTTAAGGAGGTGAGTCATGGGCTCAATAGGCTCAATGCATGCATGTTTATTTTCAACAGTTTCCTGATCTCTGACAATTTCTTTATTTATTTTTTTCCGTAGATTACAGTATTGCAAAATGGGAGCAAAGTATCAAGCCTCCCTATAAATTTTGAATCCTCGTGTGTCAGCTTGACTCCCAAGGACGGTGAAAGTTTTGTAGCTGTTGGTGGAGCCACAGACAACAAGGTACTATTAGCTCTATTTACAATACTCTAAAAATAGTGGGTGCAAGCCAATAAATCAGGTTGACCTATACCAGGTTTAATATGTAAATTTTTAAATTTTGTATTTCTTTGTTTTGTGTAGGTCCATATCTATGAACTTGTTGGTGGATCTCTGAATCCCAAGATTGAACTAGACCACTTAGGTGGGGTGACAGACTGTGCCTTTTCTCCTGATGGCAATTACCTTGTTGCTTGCGATTCTAATCGTAAAGTCATTCTCTACAAGGCTCCAGAGTTCCAGGTTTGTGTAACTTGCTTAGCTATACATTTTTAAAATTTAAAATCTTCTTGAGCTTTTGCTTTCCTCCTACTCACAACTAACACAATTTCTTCGTATGAATCTTTTCCCCTATAATGCCTTTGCTTTCTTGGTGCTTTGGAAAAATTAAAACACATGAAAACAGACAGTGAGTAAAAACTACTAACCCTTCAATACCTTTAAAATGGAGTTTGTTTAAACTGTCTATATTATCTAATTTCCCTTACAGCTTGCTCACAACAAGGAATGGGGTTTCCACAATGCTCGAGTCAATTGTGTTGCATGGTCACCAAATTCTCAACTTGTTGCTAGTGGTAGCTTGGACACCACCATCATCGTTTGGTCTGTTCAGCAACCATCAAAACACATCATTATTAAGAGTAAGTGCAAGTTGGATCTATTTTCCTTTACTATTTACATTTTCTTAAAGTATTTAAAAAAACTATTTTTTTTCATACCTACAGATGCTCACCCTCAGAGTCAGATTACCCGTTTGGCATGGCTAGATGATGAGACTCTGGTTTCTGTTGGACAGGACTGCAACACAAAAGTTTGGAACATTGTACCCTTTTAACTCTATCCTAATCATTTCTGATAATCCGTACTATGATGACAGATGTATATTTATGAATCTGTGATGAGTCATGTCATATATCTCTAGCATTCACTTCAAATATTTGCAAAAACAACATTTTGCTGTGTCCACTTTCTCTTTTTAGAACTATTTACATGTCTGTTTTTATTATTGTATGCCAGTTATGCCATACCTATGTTGTGGAGTTGTAAGCATTTCTGTGCATATTCAGTCACTGGCATAAAAATCTGTGATCTAGAGGAATAGCGCTGCATTTTCTGTAGGTAATGGTTAAAATTGAAAATTTGTTAAGATCTATTTATTTATGCCCTTCCATTTGTATCACCATTATGTCATCAGGAATTATTAACTCTGTTTCATTTGGAGATTTTATGAATATACCTCCTTATTTTATCTCAATTTAAATAGGGTCTGTATATGAATTTGTTGGGAGATCCTGAAACCCCATTGGGGCAACAGTTTGTTTCCCTAAATTTAGCAGTCTGTCTTTTTCTTTTTTATTTCGCCTATGTCCTTATTTTGTGTTGCTCAAGATAGCAGTTCAAGTTGGTCTGCTCATGCAATCAGTATTTCTATGCGGTTGTACATTGTTATAATCAATCTACATCATCTTTGCGGACATTTTTGCTCGTACCAGCATTTATTCTTTTTCTCACCTTTTAATGTGTTTGTTAAAATCTAATAATGAATTGTTTTCATTTTATATAGTTGTGATATTTTATTTTTTAGTTGCTTTCATTGTATGGTTTTATCTTCTGTTTAACAAGATGACTGTCACTTCCTTTAATGCAGTTTTGGTGTCCTATTAAAAGAAGAAATAAAAGTTACTGATGTGTGCAATTTGTTTAGCTACATGGGGATTTCTGTTCCCAGCACAGTTGCCTGTTTGCTTTAAGATCTTCAACCAAAGTGAATTGCAAGAAGTAAGGTGTTAAGTTATGATTTAATTAGTTTTATCATGTCACCCTACAGTATTAAAGTAAACAATGGTTTCAGAACAATGTGCAATAATTTAGCTAGTTGTTTGTCTTAAATTTTCTCACTTCTTAGCAGTTTGGGCTTATTAACTAATGAAGTTTATCTATACTGTTGAACCAATCAATTCGCATAGCTTCTAGTTAAATGCTGAATTTGAAGTCACTTTACTGCTGTAAACCAAAGGCAACCATTTTTCCAATCTTCCGGACTGATGCATTTATATTTTGGTGTAGTGCTTTGACCTTTTCTTCATTCTTCCTAAGCATTTCTATTTTTCTACTGTTTTCTAACATTGTATTGCTCAAACTTTTCAAGAGTTGAAGGAGAATGTTATTTTTTTTTGTGGCTAACCAAGTACTAATGTTGGAAAAACTGGTGACAAAAGACAACATAAATATGTATTACAATCTGATTTTTATTCTGAATTGGGTTGTTAAATGTGAAAAATAAAGATAGATATTTTAAAAACTGAAACAAATTGCCTCCTCTACAATCACATTTCGGAAGACATTAAAATATATAGGAAGACTTCAATTACTTTCCTTCAAGCTGTTCGTACAACTTGGGCACATAGTCATCCCACTGTGCTTGATAAAAGTTGCCAGCTACAGGGTCACCCAGATTGTACTTAGCTGCAAATTTTCGAATGGCAAAGCATCCTCTATTGTCCCCAGACCTAAGAAAAAAAGAAAAAGGTTCAAATATTAACTGAATTGGGTTGCCTGGTTTGAGAATATTATGCCAACTCAAGTCTTCACTTGCCTGTTGGTAAGTCTCTTTTCATCAAATGATAGCTTGCCAGATTGTTTGTAAACCAAGAAGACATACCTGTGCAGACCTAGAGCGGAAGAGGATCAATCATACATGTAATTGTTATCAAATACACCACAGTGCTTTAAAAGAAACCTGAAACCTAGAATAGCTTACCAGTACCCTGTGGGGGACCAGAACCCACATACTCAGATAGGGTCTCACCCTTGTTCACATCAGCACCCGGAATGTTACCCACCAGCCAATGATGCCACTCACGGTATGTGGGCTCTTTACGACTGGGAGCATCAGGATCTGGAGGGAAACAAAAATAAAAATAAATCCTTGATGTAATTCATCCCTTATATTCCTCAATTTATATCTTATGCATACCAGTCATGCACAGAGTGTAAAAGGCAGCAGGATCAGAGTTCCATGACACGGTAGGAATGTCTTTAACCTGAGTGGGTGTGAGTTCATTTCCCAAGTCAACAGATGCTCCAGACGGGTAGGAAACCTAAAAAAAAGATTGTTACTGAAGTAAAGAAACGCAGCTGACCTATCAAGATATTATGTGGACAAGGCGAGCACTATACCTTTGCTATTTCTGAAGGGGTCTTGTCAACGACATCAGGGCTAATCTGCTCTTTCTCCATTGCAGCAAGCACACGAGTTGGACGCCCAGCTGTTGACAGTAGCCGAGATGCAATATTGAAGATGGGTCTCAATGCCACAACCATGGCTCGCCACTCAATGCTAATGCTATGGCATTCAACGATAAGAAATGTCTGAAGTATATGAGCAGACAGGCGAGAAGAACAAAGAAGACGCAAGGTCAAAACCACCCCATTGAGTCAATGCCCCCATAAAACAAACAAACAGCGAATGACAGCTCTGTAAGGTATCAAAGTCTTTATCTGGCCATTGCAAGGGTACTCAAGGGAGGGGTCACGGATTGAGCCAATTTCACAAATACATAGACAAGGGTGGGGAAAACTTGAATATTCAACCACTATGAACAAAATAATAAAAATAATAATAAAAAGCCCGGACACGACATTAATTTGAATGAAAAGCTATGATTGAGAGGGAAACCGCACCGACAGCGAAACTGAGACTGAATGCTGAATGTGCCGGCCGGGTTGAGTTGAGGTATACTCTCCGACACTCCACGCAAACTGACCGTTACCTGATAAAAGTGCACGCAACGTTTGATTCGCTTATCACACTGACGATCTGGCACTTGCGGAAGACTGAAAGCCTATTGATCCGCCGGTACCGGGTGGGTGCGTAGCTCAGCTGGCTGGGCAAGGTTGTGGTAGGCAACCCGCACAGGCCTACAACGTCACGTGCTTGTGCTATGAGAAATTTGGCACCAACGGATCTGCGCGGGCTGTTTCAAACCACTGCGCTGATGTGTTTCTGTTTTTCCTTGAGTTCGTTTCGCTTAAAAACGGTGTATTCATGCATGGTAAAAAGGAGCTGTTAGTGGTGGTCTGCAAGAGGTTTTTAAAAATACACGAACAATTTGTTTTCTTCTCTTCTCTATGTACAAAAGTCAACAACAAACAAAATAACAATACCACATCAAAGGGGCTAGATTATTTAAAATAATACATCGAGTCATTTCATGTCTTTTCAGCCGTTTACACAATGAAAGAAAAAGCAGTTCAGAGTACAACAAACAGCGATCCAAATATCCATACATATTACTAAATCAAAGACACTGAGACATTTATTAAACATATTTCTAACATTTATTTTGATTTAATTTTAACAAGTTGAATGAAAAGTTCAATTTTGGTTTGTTGATTTCACACATTTGATATCTAGGTTGCAGTCCCCCTTTATGTAGGAATCATTATATTATTAAAATATAAGGATATAAAGATTCGTATTGCTACAGTTACAGCTATTCAAAAGTGCTTTGATGATAGATAATGCTATTTACAAAAGATATGGGATGAAGTCATGAGAAAAAACAAGGAGTATTATAAAATCAAAATAATATTATGAATGTGAAAAAGGTGTGTCATGATTTATATCTTCACGTCTTTATGTACACAATTCTTGCCTTACATTATGAGTTTGATTCTGCTGCAACAACCATAAGTTGAACTAGTAATACTTCTATTTACTTCAGAGTTGTCAGTTTTTCTTTAGCAGTCAGCCTTATAAGTATTAAAAAAAAAATAATCTGAAGCAACACAGTTGCTCAGATGAAAATAGCTTTGCCTCTTTAACACTAGAAAGACATTCTTGCATCTAGAGAAATACTGATTAAAGAAACCCCCCTCCCCTCCCAATAGATACCCAAAACAACAACAAAATGTTTTGATTTCTCAAATGTATCAAAAATTTATCAATGAAGAATTTTTTATTTTTTTTTGTAATTCCCTGCTACTTGTTTATTTGGACGTTTCATAGTTTTAGTAGAGACATTTGTTGGGGGAATTTAAAACATTTGTTTTCTATTCTTGACTTAACAGACCACCATAAACATTTCTCAAACTATCGAACACAAATTTAAACGTCGAGCTACTTAGGTTGTTTTGGCCACTCTTCCCTTGCCCTCTCTTCTGCCTCTTTCCCATTCTTCTTCCTCAATTCTTCGTTCTCCCTCCTCAATCTTTCCACTTCTTCTTTCCCATTCTTCTCCCTCAATTCTTCGTTCTCCCTCCTCAATCTTTCCACTTCTTCTTTCAAATCTTCTCCATATCCTACCACAGCCTTCATCTCCTCTTGCAGATCCAGGTTTTCCTGGATCCACCTTCGCTCCCTTTCTGCGGCGTCCCGGAGCAGTCGTTTATAGTAGATCAGAGGGTCCTAATGGATAACAAAAATGAATATAATTAGGCGGTAGTTGGTTAAAGCGAGGTTGTGAGGGTTTTGAGCACATAACTAGAAATAAATCCTTTTGAGACCCTTTATACCTAAAACTGATCAATATGCTGTTAAATATGGTTCATTCCTCATAGGCCATTGGATTGAAAATAACATATTTCATTAGTCAGATTGACTCATCCATTATTGCCATTGATGACACTTGTGCTAGTTAGGTAAAAAGTTTCCTCACAGAATTTCTCCAGGAAAAATTGACTTAAAAATTTGCTCAAAGTTTTTTTTTGGCTGCAAATTGACATAGAGATTGAATTGCAAAATGAAAACAATTCAGTTTGCTTTGTCATGGCTTTTCATACCATACGGATGAGTAAGTCGGACTAATCAAATGTTATTCTAAGTTGACTGACATAAAAAGGACACTATTATATTTAACAGCACATTGATTGTTTCAGGGATAAAAGGTCTCAAAAGGATCTATTTCCAAAATAGCTGTCAGTAGTCACAAGAGTTATTGTAATTATAAAAATGTGTCAAAGTTTGGTATTTACCTCTTCTGCTTCCGCCTCTGTCTCTGAGTCTGTCACCACTATCTGTGGTACCACCCTTTCTTGATTCTTTATCCTCCTCCTCTCAGTATTCACAAATACCAAATTTTCTTGCTAGTAAAGAAAAGAGGAAAAGAAATAAAAAGTTTAAAAATACCCTCAGAAAAAATAACGAAAGAAATTACACATGAGGCATACAGGGCACGAAATTTTAAAAAAACCTACCTTATGTTTGGTTCCTATGCCTTCCAGGATTTTTTTAGAGTCATCTGATATGTTGTAATGTCCGATATTGGGGAGCAGGATGGACTCAATCCGATACCTCAGTGCTTGCTCAGTTCTTGTTTTGAATATCTATGAAACAAAAGAAAAAGTTTTTAAAAAATGATAAATATAGCAACCTGGTAAAACGGAATAGAACAATGATGGAAAAGAAAGTAGCAGAGTAGAAAATATTATAGAAAATGGCAATATTTCATGAAAATAAATGATTGCGCACTTCAGTAATGAAAACTCACCTTGTGCATGTTGGCGTAAACATTTTTTCTTGAAGAAACAAAGTCTTTGTGGTTTTTAGCTACGTAATTTAGCAATGCCACGTCCTCTTCTTCCTCGTACGGCTCGCGGTTGAGAGGGTGTTTCCTGTTTTAAAAAAAGAAGGGAAAAAAAAAAACTATGAAGAAACTGGGATGGAAGAAAGGAATTGATGGATGGGCCCAGGCAACGCAACGCATAGTAAAGAGGTGCGCCCCCTCCCCGCCCCATACCGATGCAGAAGTTATCGACCACAGTTTAGCCATGCCAGAGCAAGTGCATGGCTGACAAGTATGGCAGGCAAGGCTACATCCTGAGAGCGCCTGTGACGCTGCGGTAGGCCAACACGCCAAGCAGCTGTGTGAGGTTGGTGGCCGCTGAGC